TGCTGACATCAAAGAAACTATCAGATTGAAACCATTCTGGTTTTTGTTGTATTTTAAATAAATAAATTTAAAAACCATAGGAGCTGAAACTCCTGAGCTCAATGATTCTCCCACGTGAGCCCCCCAAGTAGCTGGGACCACAGGTGCATTCCACTGCACCTAACTTTTCATATTGGAGTTTAAAAAACTGTTTTCTAAACTTTTAAAACACGATTTTCACATGCCAAAGAAATTTTCATTTTTTTAAGACAGGGTCTCGCTCTGTCACCCAGGCTGGAGTTAGGTGGTGTGAACACATGGCACACTGCAGTCTCCATCTCCTGGGATCAAGTGATCCTCCTGCCCCAGCCTCCCCAGCAGCTGGGACTACAGGCCTGCACCATCACAGCTGGATGATGTTTTGATTTTTTGTAGAGATGGAGTCTCAGCATGTTGCCCAGGCAGCTCTCAGACTCCTGGGCTCAAACAATCCTCTTGCCTCAGTCTCCCAAAGGGCTGAAATTACAGGTGTGAGCCACCCACCTGCACACAAATTATTTTAAAATTAAAAGAGATGGGGAATTTTTAAAATAATGTAGGGGTAGCAATACTGATATCAGATAAAATGTATTTTAAGAATTATTATCTAATGACAACAGCAAACTATGTGAAGAAAATACAAGTCTCAAACCTACATGCATCAATCTAATCACTATGTATAAAGCAAAAACTAATCAAGAACCAAAATATAACTGGAGCAGAATTTGTTATGTAAGGGGATTTTTAAAAAGACATCCTTCTCAGAATTGGGAAGGTTTAGTAGAGGGTTTTTAAAAGATAGAAAAATTGCCCAGTGTGGTGATGGCTCACACCTGTAATCCCAGCACTTTTGAAAGCCAAGGCTAGTGAATCACTTGAGGTCAGGCATTTGAGACCAAACTGGCCAACATGATGAAACTCCATCTCCAGAAAAATGCAAAAAATTAGCTGGGCATGGTGTCATGCACCTCTAGTCCCAGCTACTTGGGAGACTGAAGCAGGAGAATCAGTTCAACCCAGGAGGTGGAGGTTGCAATGAGCCGAGATCCCACCACTGCCCTCCAGCCTGGGAAACAGAGCGAGACTCATTCTCAAAAAAAAAAAAAAAAGAAAAAGAAAAGAAGAGAAAAATTGAAAAGACAGAATTTTAGTTGTGTCCATGGAACATTTATAAACATTGACCATATTGTTGTCACTAACTGCATAGGACAACTGAGCACTTGAAATGTGGCTATTCCAAATGGAGATATGCTGTAAGTGTCAGATATATGCTAGAGTTTGAAGACTTAACAAGAAAAAAAAAATCTATGAAAGATAGCTAAGTCATAATCTCATCTTGAATACATGTTGAAAGAATAATATTTGGGATAAATCTGGTTTAATAAAATGCATTTTAAAATTAATTTCAGTGGTTTCTTTTTTGCTGGTTTCTAACATGCCCACTAGAAGAGTTTAAATTATGTATGTGGCTTACATTATATTTCTATTCTGTATTAGACTATCAAGTAACCTATTAAGAATTTCTTAAGTAGTGTCTTCACAAGAAACGTTTTCTTATTATAATGCAAAATAACCAGAAAAAATAAGAGGGAGATGACTACAAAAAATATTCACAATATCAGAATTAGGAAACAGACTTATAGACAGTCATTGCATCAAAGGAGAAATTTTAAAACGGATACTTAAATTATCTAAAAGCAGTGACAAGAACAGCAATTTTTACCAAAACCTGAGGGACACAGAAAAAGTTTTACTCAGAGCCCTCATTGCTTCATTAAGAAAAATCAAACGTAAAGAAATGTAACATTCCTCTAACGAAGTTAGAAAAGCAGCTACAAGATCAGCCAAAAGAAACGAGGATGAAATCATTAAGGCAAAAATAAGCTGCAATTAATGAGACAGAAAATGAAACAGTAAAAAGAATATACAAATTCCACAATTATTTCTTTGAGAAGACCAGTCAAATAATTCAACCTATCATAAACTTCAAATCAAGGAGAAAGAGAGGCAGAAAAAACATGCGATTTCAAACATGGTCTTGCATATTTGCAGAAAAATTTCAAATCTAAGGGTCAACCAAACCAAGTAAGTAAGGGTGACAAAATAACAAAGGAAATTAATGTAATAAAAATGATAATGGCATGCCTATCACAGATAATACATGATAAAGATTTTGGTGTAAATGATCTATCATGCACTCAGTAAATTGGCATGAACACGGCAAAGGTCTCCAGGTGAAACACCTTGTTCTGCAGGAGTCTTTTAAACTCTAGTAATGATGATGATAGTTCTTCCTCTAAGAGGCCTAAGGCGATCTGTGAAAATTCTTCTTTATTCACTTGACCCAGAAAAACCACAAAATCATGCAAAACAAGAGGTTTCAGTTTTCCTGTTCACTTAAAGGACATTCGTGAAACTACCCAGGCCATCAAGTATATGCATATACAAAGAGCCACCAAGTGTCTGAAAGTTGTCACTTTACGGAAGCAGTGTGTACCATTTCGATGTTGCAATGGAGGGGCCGGCAACGTGCCGAGGGCCAAACAGTGGGGCTGGACACAGGGTCGGTGACCCAAATAGGGTGCTGAATTTTAGATGCACATGCTTCAAAATGCAAAGAATAATGCTGAATGTAAGGGTTTAGGTGTAGATTCTCCCATCATTAAGCATATCCAAGTAAACAAAGCATCCAAATGAGCCATGGGTCTTGCAGAGCTCCTTACCAGATTAACCCTTACATGACCCCCACTGCCATATCAAGATGATTTTTACTGATAAGGAACAAATTGTTCCTAAACCTGAGGATGAGGTTGCATAGGAGAAAAAGATATCCTAGAAGAAAATAAAGAAAAAAAAATACCTATGGCACCAGAATAAATTCAGCATAAAGTAAATGCAATTGTAGGTAAACATGTTTTTAAAAAGTGTTTTGTCTGGAACATTGATTGGATGAAGGCACCAATACAGACTTGAGATAGTGGCATCCTGTTGGCACAGTTGATGCCCCAATGAAGACCATGTTAAGCATGATCAGCCTGGGGTAGTCCATCACAAAGTCCCCTTGGAGCAGCCACACGGATGCATGACTGAGAAGATTCGCCACTGACACCTCTCTCTGAAAAAGCTCAGAGGCAAGGCTTGCATAAAGAGCAGAAACAGCATGGCAAATGTAGGACAGGACCAGAGGGCAGAGCATGTTCTTGACTCTTTGCAGGAATGTCACGTGGTGTGAATTGGTTGTTAATAACTTAAGAATACAGGAGGAAGGATTTGGATATTGTGTGCCCTTAAAGTCTAAGTCACATGGAATGTTCCTGAACAAAAAACACAACGGGAATCGACAGGTACTTAGCCAGCACCATCCCGCAGACAGAAATGGGGTCTGCTAAAACCACATCAAAAGAAGTAGCATTCGGGTGCCTCATTAGGCAGTATTATGCAGTAGCTCCACACAAGACCTATGAAAGACCAAAGACATATTGTTCATAATTGCCGTATTTCTAGAAAATGTCTTCAGAAGATGTTCTGTTTCAAAGAACCATTGAGTGTGGCCCAGCAAAAAGCGATCAAATTCATCCTGGGTCCATGGAATGGCATAGGTTGTCAGGGTGAAAAAGTTCTCTTCTTTGATGTGCATTTTCACCTCCGGGGTGAGGACCACCGCCTGGTGGCCTCTGGCATGGAGCTCCCGCACGGCCTCCCGCATGCTGAGCCAGTGGCTGCCATCAGTGGGCACCACCAGCACCTTCCCACTCTCAGCCCAGGGCTGGACACTGAGGAGAAGCAGCAGTCCTGTGGCCAGCCGTGGCAGGGGAACTTGGGATCCTGTGGCCATCTGAGCAGAAGCCATCAGCAGCTGACTGTCCACCCCACGCTGTGCCTCCTACATTTGTTTTCTTCATCTTAATTACCTTGTCACTGAGCCACATAGCAAACCAACATGTAATTGGAAAACAGAGTGCCCTCCTCCAGTTACTTATTACCCATTAATCTATCATTGCCTTTCATTATGGGCCCCACCTTGGGAAAGACCGATCACTCCTGTCTTGAAAAACTCATCTGACCCTGCGCTCACTCTGGGGAACATCCAACTTCAAGCTCTTGTTTCTCATCCAATTCTCAACAAAAGCCTGTGGTAACCCATTTAACATCACAGCCTCCTACTTCTCTGTTAACCACGTTTATTAGGCTGCAGCTGAGGTCTGAGAAGTCACCAACAGTGGTAGGCAATAGTAGGCAATCCATATTCACGCTCATGAATAACAACAGAGAACCACTACTAAGCAATCCAATAAATCTCTGTTTTGGAACCAAAGCAGAATCCATTGCTAATTCCCTCATCCACCAAATATTTACGGAATGTGTGAGCCCTACTGTATGCCAGTCACTATGCTAGGAACTAGGGCCAGAAGGCCAAGTTAGAAATGGTCCTTGCCTGAAAGGAGGGGTCAGGTGGACGGAGACAAATTCATGACCAGGCAATTACAGGGTATGGTGCTCTGGGGGCTGAGAAATCACATGGCAGGGCAGCAATATGATGGTCTTACTTTGAGGGCTACTAAAGAGTGACATGTCCATGGAAAGTGTTTCTGGAACCCTTTTGAAGGTACTTCCTTTTTAAGCTGAAGACCTAAGTTAATAGGCCACCACTTGACACACTCCCAGCTCCTTTCATCAAATCAGAATGAAAGGGCTTGTTACTAAAGGAGCAACATAAACATGTCCATTGCCCTGTAGATTATCTACAGGACCCTCCAGGGAAACAAAGCCACCTTCCTTGAATCCCCACAGCATTTTGTTCTGCTCTGCCTTACATCTTTTAGCAGTTTGCATATCTGTCCTTGCTATTAGACTATAGCTATATCCTTTACATCTATTCCTTACAGGCAAGATTTTGGCTTTGGAATCATGCCATCACTCAGGTTTTGGAGACATGGTTTTGGAGATAGTACATGGTTTTGGAGACAGTAAACACTCTGGACATGCTTCTCTATACAGGTGACTTTCCTTCTCTTTTCGTTCTAGACCCTGTATCCAAGATAGCAAGTAAGTGCTGAATCTGGATGTTTCTACCACTGTCTCTCAGACCCAGCTGCCATTGTCCTATTTCAGGGCCCCAGCCCCCCAGTTCCCCAAACCCCAGCTGTCCCTTCTGAATCACTGCATCGGCTGCCAACTGAAAAACCCCACGTCGCTGCCACTTCTAGAACCTTCATCAACAGCTTCCTGGGCACAGAAGAAAATTCAGACTCCTCTGCCTTGCTCTCAAAACTCTGCGATAGATCCTAGTCTCCCTGTCCAAGCTCATTCCTCCTCTCTAGCTCTTCTGCTTGCCCCCTCCCTCTGCCTCTTACCCGCCAGTCATTCTGGATCACTTACTGTTCCCCAAACTTGCTTTGATGTTCCCAAATCGCTTTGTTCACACTGAACTCTACCCTCAGCCAGCTTACTATGACTGTTCATTGCGTGCTTACCAAGTGCCAAGTCCAGGTTTCAGTTATGTCACTAGAGGTTATATAAACTCAGAAGTTTGTTCTGGTGAGATAACACATCCCTATTAGCCCTAACACCCTTTATGAACTCTTACAATGTTCTTCGGTTAATCATTTTCCCTTTAGAACTGAGTGACCTTTACTAGTGTAATGCCTCACAATTTACCAAAGCAAAGAATCCAGTGTCAAAAAGAGAATAAGGAGGAGGTGAAGAGAACTCAGATCTCAAAAAATTATCCCCTCAAAATTCATGGTCATGACATAGCAGTTCTAGTGGAAATAATCACTGCATCTCAAGTTTATAGCATGCCAGTGTATGGCTTCGATACAGTAACTAGTGCTATATTTCCTTTTGTCTGAGAGGATCTCCCTGGTGTTTGTTTTAGCAGTCAAGAAAAGTGAATAACACACACAGTTGACCCTCCGTATACTTGGGCTTCACATCTGCAGATTCAGTCAACAGCAGATTGAAAATATTTGGGGGGAATAGAAATGGAAAAAAATACAAATAATACAAAGAAAAAACCAATACTGTAAAACAACTTTTTACACAGCATTTACATTTATTAGGTAAAAGTAAGCAAGAGATGATTACGGGTTTAAAGGAGGATATGAGTAGGTTATATACAAATACTGTGCCATTTTATAAAAGGAGCTTGAGCTTCTAGATTTTGGTATGAGGAGGAGTGTTGTCCTAAACTAATCCCTTCAGAATACCAGGGACTACTGTACTAGACTAGCAGGTCTCAAAGAATGAGCCAGAAATCCTAAGGATCCCCAAGAATTTTTCAGGAGAATTTTGCAAAGTCAAAACTATTTCCATAATAATCCTACTTGATTTTTTCACTGTCATTCTCTCACAAGTGTACAGTGGAGTTTTCCAGAAGCTACATGGGTGATGTGTAATATCACAATAGATTGAATGCAGAAGTTGACATGAGAATCCAGCTATTAAGCCAAGTACTAAAGCGAGATGCAAAAAATGTAAAACAATGCCACTCTTTTCACTACATTTTGTCTGAAAAAAGTTAAATAAAAATAAGATTTGATAGTGTGCCATGGGTTTCTTATTAAATTGCCCAATGAATATGTCTTTTAAATTCTGTTTTAATCTCTAACGCAGTATATATATGATAGGTATAATCCACATCAACTAAACCAAACGGGTACCAAGGCTGGAAGGTTAGAGAACTGCAGTCCTAAACAACAGGATGTCTTCAGCCCCGGTCAGACTAAACTCACTCCCATCACCCTCTTCCCTCCTGTGGCCGAGGAAAAAGACTGATATAAAGCCGACTTTAAGAAAAACAGTTCTTCAGGCAGCTAAAGTCAACCCCTTCTCTTTCCCGCAACCTTATTCCCACCCTTTTTGGAGACCGCGGCTGGGCGGGGGCCGGAGTGGGCGGGGCCTGGTCATGGGGCATCACAGAGCCTCACAGAGAGCAGGGCCAGTCCCAGCAGCACTGCATCCTGGGAAGCGAGGCGCTCATAGGCCTCGACCAATGAGATGTGGCTGCGTCACAAGGGGCGTCCCTCCAGGCGACCCAGGTCGCCAACCACTCGGGCCCGCGCCCGGGGCTGGCAGCTGTCCCGCTCGCTGCGCCAGTGTCCCGTGGGCCGTTCTGGGCGTCCAGCATGGTGGACTACTACGAGGTGCTGGGCGTGCCCCGGCAGGCCTCGACCGAGGCCATCAAGAAGGCTTACCGCAAGCTGGCGCTCAAGTGGCACCCCGACAAAAACCCCGAGAACAAGGAGGAAGCAGAAAGGAGATTCAAGCAGGTGGCCGAGGCCTACGAGGTGTTGTCGGACGCCAAGAAACGCGACGTCTACGACCGCTATGGTGAGGCGGGGGCGGAGGGTAGCTGCGCAGTCGGCAGGCCTTTCGAGGACCCCTTCGAGTACATCTTCAGCTTCCGCGACCCGGCCGAGGTCTTCAGGGAGTTCTTCGGTGGCCAGGACCCATTCTCCTTTGACCTCTTCGGAAACCCGCTGGAAAATATTTTTGGGAGTCGGAGGAACTCCCGGGGAAGCAGAAGCAGAGGGTCTGCACCCCTTTTCTCCACCTTCAGTGAATTTCCAGCTTTTGAGGGTGGATTTTCTTCTTTTGATACAGGATTTAGTTCCTTTGGCTCCCTGGGAAGTGGGGGCCTTTCTTCCTTCTGCATGTCCTATGGTAGTGATGGGACAGGCAGCTTCAAGTCCATGTCGACTTCCACTGAAATAGTTGATGGCAAAAAAATCACCACCAAGAGAATCATTGAGAATGGCCAAGAAAGGGTGGAAGTGGAGGAAGATGGAGAGTTCAGTTAAAGTCCTTCATAATAAATAGCAAAGAGCAGTTGCTCCGCATTGACACCGAGTAATCCCAGTCCACATTTGACTTAAAGCATATCTGGAGGAATAGCGGACTTTTTTTAGAATTGAAAGTGAACTTTACTTTCAGAAAAACTGTACCCAAGAATTTATAAACGCTTTATGCCAACGCCTATTATTGTTGGGACTACACGGATAGTACATCTGTCTTTCAGTCGTTGTAAATATCTGTATGCACTTTGCTGTTTATTAAACTTAAGCCTGAGGCTGACTGTTTATTTCCTAGTGCTAGGACAGAATGTTCAGCTCGGCACTTTGAGCCTTACTTTTTTCCATTGGGAAAGTGTGAACCAGGTGGTTTGTTCTAAACCATTTGACTTCAATTTTTTAGTGTGTAGTGGTGAAATCTATGAATATATTAATACTTCTGAATTAATTTAATGATGGCTTTTAGTTGCACATAAATGCTGGTGATGTAGGAAAAGTTGACCATTATCTAGGTAAAAGGTTAAACCCAGACTTTTTAAAAGCAGGTAAACCTGGTAAAGTGGATGCATTAGTTTCCTATCACTGCTGTAACAAATTACCACAAACTTGGTGGCTTAAAACAACATGTGTTTATTCTCTTAATATTTTGGAGGTCAGAGATTTGAATCCTGTATCACTGAGCTGAAATCAGTGTAAGAAGCATGTTCCCTCTGAAGGCTGAGGACAGACCTTGTGGTTACATGGTTGGTTAATGGTATACTAGGACTGTCTTCAGCCCTAACGTGGTTCTCCAACTGTGGTAGGTTGCTGGGGATAGGCCCCCAAATCTGGCCAGAAGCTGGCACCCAAACTGGCCATAAACAAAATCTCTGCAGCACTGTGACATGTTCATGATGGTCATGATGCCCACGCTGAAGGTTGTGGGTTTACTGGAATGAGGGCAAGGAACACCTGGCCCACCCAGGGAGGAAAACTGCTTCAGGCATTCCTAAACTACAAACAATAGCATGAGCCATCTGTGCCTTAAGAACATGTTCCTGCTGCAGATAACTAGTTAGAGCCCATCCCTTTGTTTCGGCCCATCCCTTTGTTTCCCATAAGTAATACTTTTAGTTAATCTATGATGCTTATCACTAGCTTGCTGTCAATAAATATGTAGGTAAATCTCTGTTCAGGGCTCTGAGCTCTGAAGGCTGTGAGTCCCCTGATTTCCCACTCCACACTCTATATTTCTGTGTGTGTGTGTCTTTAATTCCTCTAGCGCTGCTGGGTTAGGGTCTCCACAACTGAGCTGGTCTCGGCAGTAGGTCCTGGAAATGTGAAAAAAGCATTTCCGTAAGGCCACACAGAACTATCTTATTGCTATGCTTGGGGCATGCCAAATTAGATTGAGGAAAGTCAAGTGTATCTGTAATATTGTTTGGGTGAGTCACCATACACACAACTGAGAAAGTACTTTTCTGTTGGCACAGGTTATGCCCCAAATGAAGACCTTTAGGGGCATGTTGCCTTGGGGTAGTCCATCACAAAGGGTCCCATCTTATAGGGTCAACTCTGAGGGAAGGTTTGCATAAGGCATGAGAGCAAAAGGACAACTGAACTAGACAGGCTGAAAAAAATTAAGAGCAGCATGCTGTTAATTTTTTACAGAAAAACCATGGCCTGAACACATCATTAACCAACAAAGACTGTGATAACGGGTTTGGATATGTTCTAGAACCCTCAGAGTCCAGTCTGCATGGAATGGCACCCAAGAAATAAACAGCAGGAACGGGGCAGTGAGCTGGCACCATCCCACAGGGGCACACAGGGTCTCACACTGAACTCTGAAATCAACATGCTACGAGGTGCCTGGGTAGTTGCTTTATGCAATAACCATACAAGTAGTATCAGAATAAGATAGACTGTCAGGGCTTTTGAAAAATGAGTTCATTTTTGAGTAAGCCAGACGAGGGAAGTTACATGTGTGAAGATACTCACTGAGTAGTTTGCTGGGGATAGGTTTGCTTTTGGAGCAGTTCAGGGATGAAAAGAGTTTTGAAGTGGTAGGAAGGCATGGGCAGTTTCATGGTGGTTTTGTGTGTTGGAAATCACCACTCTGGGTAGAGTAGAATGAATTGGTGTGTACCTACAGAATTGGTTACATAAATCTCATTGTTCAGTGGTCAGCAAAGAGTGGCACACCAATGTCACTCAGAGGTAGTGGATCTATAACAATTCTGGCTAGTTTTAACAGCTGAAAGAAAACACAAGTTCAGTTTTGATATATCCTGGATTAGTGCTGTCGTAAATGGAAAGTGTTGCTTTTACAGAAGTGAAAGCTTGTTTGTTTGTTTGTTTTAAAGACATGATCTTGCTCTGTAGCTGTTGCTTAGGCAAGATGATAGCTCACTGTAACCACGAATTCCTGACCTCGAGTGATCCTTCCTACTCAGCATTCCCAGTAGCTAGGACTACAGACATGCTATCACACCTAGCTAATAAAAAATATATATATCTTTTTGTAGAGATGGGAATGATATTGACCCACAATTTTTTCCCAGCAAGAGCATATTGTTTAAAGATTTTTCAGAATTGAAAAATCTCTTTTTAAAATGTCTCAACTCAAAAACAGAAGAGTGCTAGAGGCCTATATGTGGGTATTCATCTTTTGTAAAAGAGTTTGATTAGGTTTTCAGAGTGGAAAAAGGGGGCATTTCCTCTGGTGCAAAGATGACCATCTGGAGATCCCTAAAATGAATATCCTCCATGGAAACACTGGTACCTTCTCACCAAGCACACCAGGCAAGGAAAGGAATGACCCTGTGAGCCCCAAGAGATCTGGAGACCTATAACCATTTCAGTAGGGTCCAAAAAGCCAAAATACCAGACATTTTTTCTGGCTGGAGCTCAACACAGCTGGTTTTAATTCAGCTTACATCATACACTGGAAAGCATCTGGAAGAGGGAATGATCCTTTCTGTCCATCATCTTCTTCCC